TCCGGAGAGGCGCAGGGAATCTGGAAGTGGGAAGGAATAACGGGCCGCATTGGAGCACCGACGCTGACTCGGCCTGCTCGGAAAATCTCAAACGGGCCGTGGGAAAAAACGTAGCGGGCTCCGGCCTCGGAGCCCCGTCTGGGAAGGGACCGGAGCCGCTGCCAGGCGGGAAAAAAGGGGATTTAAAAGAAGAGAACTTCTAAAGGCAAAGCCAGCGAATGGCCGGGGTTGGAGGCGAAGGGGCCCGTCAGCCCAGCCCTTGTTTCCACGGGAAGGAGGAGAGGGGGCAGTTGGGGAGCAGATGGGGGAACTCTGGGTCTGAATCAGTGGAGCCCCCCCCCCCCCCCACTTAGGCCAGCAGAGCTTTTTTCCTGCGTTCCGGTGTCAGAAGAAGAGAGGAGGGATTCGCTCGAGACGTTGGCCTGTGGAGGGAGCAGCCTGGAGTGCAGCTCTAGATCTGGGCTCCGGTTTGGGGGCAGGACCTGCTCTGGATCCTGCCCCTCTTGCTGCCCCCAAGGCAAAGGTGTTGTGTGCGTGGAGGCCTAGCACTTTTGCGGGTGTTGGTGGATGAAATTGGCCTGCCTGTCCCCTCCTTGCTTCAGAACAGGCTACTCTTCAAGTAAGTTCTCTTCTTGACAGCCAGAAATACAGGAAATGGGCCGTTTTCATCTAAAGCAATTGAGACCCTATATAATTCCAGGCACATCAGGGTGTGTTGATTATCTGGGCTCCGTTACTGGCAGGCTTTTGGCCAGAATGAAAACTGGAAGTGGTTAATCCTTTATTTACCCAGAAGTCTAGATGGGGGAATTGCAACGTGACAGGTTGACTTAGAGCTGTTGGGCAACTTTCAGAGCTTCAAGCACTTCTGCTTTTTAGGGGAGGGGGAGGGGGAAGAGTCCGTGGATGTGGCACTTCTGGCCTTTTGTGCTAGGTCTCCTCCATGCTGACTGGGGGGGTGGGGGGGCTGCTGCTGCCTAGCTTGGCCTTTGGCTTCTGTTTCCCCTGCAAGCAGCTAGCAGCTAATGGGCCTGCCTGCGTATCTAGTGGGCCAGCTGTGACTATTCTTAAGCTGGTTAGGCCTGGCAATAGCTATCCATAACTTGGTTTGTTTATTTGATTTTTATCCCACCTTTATTACTTTATAAGTAACTTAAAGTGGCACACATACATAATGGGCCCAGACAGCTTTCAGGTCCAAGGCAAGATTAAAACTAGAACTCACAGACACCTGGTCTCTAGGGCAGCGCCTTAGCCACTACACCAAAGTAGACCCAGCAATTGTTCTCTGTGCCAAACTTAAGCTCTCGTCTTATGACTATCTTTGAGAAGTGCTTAAAACTTAAATGAGTGCAGAATCCTATGTTACCAACAACTGCACAATTCTGGGAGTTGAAACCCACATGTCTTAAAGTCATTGGACACTGCTGTAAGATGAAGTTAACTAGGCATAAATACAATGGAAGAATTTTTAAAAACTCAAGAAGGTTCGGAATGCTAAAATACGAATGCATAGAAAAAATGCAAAGATTTTGGAATAAATATGTCTGTATGAGTGGAGTCTGTTTTTCTCTGATAACCCATAACATAAAGGAATTTTTCAATTGTTTGTTTTTAAAAAGAGCTATAATTTTGTTACCTATCAGTTAAGATAAGTCCTAAAAAGAATGATACAATGTTGCCCACAGCTCCTGAGATGCATTTGTTTGTTTTTCGCTTTGTAGATATTTGTGAAGCTCTGAACGTGACCGTCTCTCCGGGACCCAGGACCCGGCATGTGGTTGGAGATAATGTTACTTTATTCTGCCATGTTTCTCAGAAGAGGCGAAGGGAAAACCTTTTGGCTGTCCGATGGATCTTTGCTCTCCCCTCTGCCCAGGAATACCTGATGATCAAAATGACCAAGTATGGGGTCGTCCAGTACTATGGAAATTACACAAGCCACTTCTATAAGCGGAGGCTTCGTCTTCTGGAGGAGAAACACAGGACGATGTACACGTTTTTGATCCTGAACATCCAGCAAGCCGAACAAGGACACTATATTTGCAAGGTTCAGGAGATTGGCAAGCAAAGGAACAAGTGGACTTCGTGGTCCAACGGTAGTGCCTCCACTGAAGTCCAAGGTGAGAAGATAACGGTGGGTTTTTTTTTTGTTTGGGTTTTTTTTTTTTGCAGGCTATGTAGGATTGTTGTCTAGCTGTTCTTCCTGCTGTACCTCATAAAGAGGTAAGCCCAACAAGGCCTCAGATTTGACCATTTTGGTTGAAGACAATTATCATCCAACATATACATATCCATACATACATACATACATACATACATACATACATACATACATACATAGATAGATAATTTAATTTGTATACCGCCCTTCTCCCATAGGACTCAGGGCGGTTCACAGCATATTAAAAACAAATAATATACACAAAATACAAAAAATACAAAATACAAAAATACAAAATATGTATGTATACATACATACATACATACATATATGGGAAACCCCTCCCCCCAGGATGGGAATCATCCTGTATGGAACAGAACAAAAATGTTTTAAGTGTTCTGGACTATAGGAAATCATGGAACCCCAGAACAAAGCCCAATTTCCTAGTTTTTCATCCCAGGGCTACAAAAGGAGGTCTGGTAGTAAGTTGCTGGTTGCTATTGATATACCAAAGTTTTTCTTTTCTTTTTTTCTTTTCTTTGGAGATGATTTCGAAAGTACCAGTAAGAAATACTTTCTTTTAAAAAAAAGCACAAAAAGCCCATGAAGGGATATGTTGATTTTTTGAAACTTGATTTCTGATTTAGCAGAGTGGGATCAGAAAGAAAAGCAAAATTGGTTCCTATTAGAGAAAGAGGGAGAGAGAAATGGAGGGGAGGGAGGGAAGGAAAGAAGGAAGGAAGGAAGGGAGAGAGAGAGAAAGAAAGAAAGAAAGAGAAAGAAAGAAAGAAAGAAAGAGAGAGAAAGAAAAGAAAGAAAGAAAGAAAGAAAGAAGGACCTGCATTCGTTCAGAGGGAACTCAACAGAGCCACAGGACACTTTCTGCACTTTCAATTTACACCTGAACTTCCCAGCAGTGTGAGCAACGCTGGCAAAGCCAACTCAGTGTCGGCGTGTTGCTGGTGGCGACTTGCCTGTAGAAATACGCGGAACCCCCAGCCGGCCGGGCCACGTGAGCGCTCGTTTTCCCAGAGCAAAGCATTTTAAAGACCAGTGGTAAATATAGCTGCTCCCTGGCAGAACTGCAGATGTCAGCAGCCTCTTTCCGCCTTCAGCTGGGCCAGCCAGCCCAGCTCCTCTGGGCAAGGACGGTGCAGCCTATCAGGTGGGGAGGGGCGTGTGGCCCCCCAGCCGGGTTCCCCGCTCCGAGTCAGGCCCAAGGAATCCAGCGGCATCGGAAATAAGGATGGAGGGCTTCATGGATGGATGGATGGATGGATGGATGGGGAGAGCCACGGCTGGATTCCATGGTGACCCAAATGATGCCCCTAGGGGGTCTGAAAGAGGAGGGGAGGGGTCTCCTTTACCAGCTGTGGAAGATGGGTCTTTTAGTCTTAGTTGTTCTAGAGAAGAAGTTGTTCCATCCTCGGACTCTGAGCTGATCAGACTCTGTAATTGGGGCTGCTGGGGTGGGAAGAGACCCCAGGCCAACCTCTGGCGATGCCACGTGGGAGCAGGCCTGCCCGCCTTTCTGGGGCTTCTGCTGAGGGTGCCATGGAAAGTTCACGTCTTCTCCTGAGCAAGACAGTGAGCCCCCCTCCCCCCCCCCGCCTGCCCACCCAAGGAGGGAGCAGCCCAGCCTCGCTTGCCAGGCAGAATTGGGCCCAGGACGCTGGTGCAGCTGCAGCAGCGGCTGGAAGTGGAACCTCTGCGGGCGGATCCAGCCTGGCTTGGCTCTGGGACAACCGAATCTTAGCCACGCTTGAGACTTGCACATTCTAGGTGCTGGGAATTTTAAAGTTGCATCTTCTCTCAGGTTTCCCACTGGGTTCGCCATTCCTTTGAGGTGTTTTTTGTTTTTTTTTTAATCTTCCCAGACTGATTGAGTCTATAGGCCTCAGTTTCCCCAGGGGCCTCCTGGCTCCGGACTCCCCAAATCCAGTCTGGCTTAGCTTCTAAACCTAGTCAGGAGCCGGAGAAGCAGGGTTACCAAGCATAAAAGAGGCGTTTTCTTGGCCTTTGCTACAGGAAAATAAACAGCAAATTATTTACCTCATTTTAAATGTGTAGCTCTCTAGATTATTTCCAAAACAGAGGTTAAATGTTACAAAGCTCAAATATGCAATAATAAAATTGGCACAGCTACATAAAGAATCAAAATAGCACCAACAGCTTCCCCACGACTAAAAATGACTGTGCCAGGAGCTCCACGGCGTAGAAAAAAGGGACGGATGGATTCATTGCGCAAATTGCCATGGTCATCAGTGTCTCTGATGACAGCTGTTGTCAGTATTTGCTCTCTTTCTGTACTGCTGGAATTTGGAACCCTCGAAAAGAAACTCCCTGAAACCTAAGAGTTGTAGATGAGGAATGTGTGTAGGATTTATTATTTATTTATTTACTGAGATGGAGGTGGGAGGATAAGAATCCGTGGCGGAAAGATCCGTAGTTCCAAGGCAGCTGAGCTTTTCCCCCCCTCCGACTCTTTCTGGGTGTCCAGCTTTTGCAGCTGTTGGAGACCTTCTTCGCCCTGCAGACACACACACACACACACACACACACACACACACCGCCCGAAGGCTCAGTACTGAATGCCACAAAGTCTCGGCCATCGGGGCGAGGGGGGGTCTCCCCTAAACGCCTCCAGCCTCCTCTTTACTTCCCCACCAAACTGCCCCTCCCTTGTCCACTCCCGAGCCCAGGAAAGCAAAGTTGCCTTCCACGCTCCCTTCTTCATTGCCAACTGTAAGTTCCCCCGACACGATCGACTTCACCTCCTTCGTCCTCTCAACATCTGACACAAGCAGCTTACGAGCAGAACTGAGGCCAAAATTTGTTTTCTTAAATGGGTTTTGCCCCATTTTATGACCTTTCTTGCCACAGTTGTTAAGTGAAATACCGCAGTCGATAAGTTGATAACAGGGTTACCAGCATCTGAATTTTGATCACATAATCATGGAGATGCTGCAAAGGTCGTAACTATGACAAACAGTCATAAGTCACTTTTTTCAGTATCGTCGTAACTTTGAACAGTCACCAAATGAACTGTTGTAGGTCGAGGGCTACTTATACTAGCCCAGACTTTCATTTCCATTTTTTACGTTCACAACTAGCATTTCTAAGAGCTCCTAACTTTCGGCTAATGAAGTTGTGTCCCCTGAATAGATCGGGTTGGTACAACTTCAGACTTTTATTCCCGGTGTCTTTACTTGCAGTCTTTCCCTTCTTAGGTGTTCACTGCACATGTTAAACGGTTAATGAGGAAAGTATTTTTATTTACTTATTTATGATTTTTATATGTCCTCCTATCTCATAAAAAGCAACTGTGGGTATTGTGCATCTTCGTGTCCCTCCCCTTCCATTTTGAACCTCTTTCTTCTCTTCTCCAAACAGGAGCTTCTCTTGGGAGGCTCTGGCGGGTTATGAAGATGCCCCAGAAGGCTATTCAGATGTCCTCTGGTCAGCTTTGGCCTTGGTGTGTCCCCCAGTTTGGCCTCTTTTGCACAGCCAGAGGCTTCGCTGTAGTCAATAAAGTATAAGTGCAGATCTTCCAGTTATCTTGCTCTTCTCGTAATCACCCGATGGGAGCCCTCCGACCTCCTGGTCTGCCATTTCTGAATCTATCTCACCTTTTCCCCCCCCCCTCATTGTGTGGTTCTTTTCCTCTTTATGAAACCATAGCCAAAAAATGATTGTGTGAAGAAGTTGTGTAATTGAGCAGACGCTTTGAGCTTTCTCTTCGGAGGCATCTGCAAGACTTTGAAACAGGCAAGATGGTCGTAGCAGAATTATTGTTGAAGGTCCCAAAGATCCTTTTTCAGGAGGCAACTGGACTTTCTTGTTTTTTTCTTTGAAGACGTTTCACCTGTGGAAGGGCGTCGGTTGGGACGTGGGTTGACGTCCACATATTTACAAAGGGCTGGTTTGATATGGCCAACTGATTAATCAATAAAGATAAACTATACAATAGTTGTGATGTTGACCACCTTGCCTGTGGACATTGCTGAGTCCCATCTTCATTAAAGGGATTTGGATGGATCGTCTCTTCCAGTTGTCAAGCCATAAACAGCGTTTTCGTCTTGGTTGACCTAGAATGGTCAGCCTTTTGCTTCATTTTCTCCTGAAATTTTAAACAGAAAAGAGAACAAACAGATTGTTGTACAAAGTGATTGACATCCATGCACACAGACAATATTTTAACAAATGGAGGGGGGGAAATGGATTGCAGTTGTAGACTCATTAAAAAAAAAGATGTATTGATGTATGTGCTCATATTCATTGTGAGCCAGAAAAATAAATACAGATTGGATATGTGCTTACCACAATCCACATCTGGCAAAAAACAGAATACAGAGAGAATTTGTGAAACGTCACAAATACAAAAGAAAAATAGGTGCCTACATATCTGAACTTCCCTAATAGTTGTATTTCAATAAAAATCCTTTCCAGTTTTGCCTAGATGTGTGTCAAAGTCTGACAGGAAGAGCACGGCCTGCTGCGTGGCAGGAAGCCCTGTGAAGGCGCTGAGCCCTGTGAAGGCGCTGAGCATCAGGTGGAAATTGCGCTTTATTCCTCAGACGGGACTTAAAAGGACTTAAAATGCAAAACTGTATAAAGTCTGTTTTTTCAGAGATGACTAATGTTTTCTTCCATTAATTTCAGGATGATGGAAGCAATCATAAGAACGGGGAGGAGGAAAATTACATGCTTCGCATCTGAAATAATATATGTGGTCACCTTCCTCTCCCAGTTCTCTAAGTCCAGCCCAGCCACCCTCTGTCTCTGTCTTGCTCTGCCATCGCTGGTGGGTTCCCAGCTTCATTTAAAAAAAACAACAACAGGGTATGACTCTATGTGGAGGAGCTTTAACTTCGGTGCTTTTTCATGTCACGGGTTTTCACATGACATATCATTTCTCTCTCTCTCTCTCTCTCTCTCTCTGGCTGCTGGGCGATCCCCAGCACACCCTTGCTCTCCTTTCTTGCTGCCAAGGGATCCTCAGGCTGCTATTCCCCATTTACTTGCCTGCTTATCTTTCAGGAATTTGGTGGACTTCTGGGGGGAGAATCCCCCCCATCCCCGCCTGCAGGCCTGCCCAGGACCCAGGCGATGGGCAGCAGGAAAAAGCCACCCAGGATCTGCAGCGTTGTTTGGGATTTTTAAAAGGAGATAAAATTTGTAGTATGCCGAATGGATTTCTCCAGTTCTTCAAATCAGTTTCAGACAATGCTCATGAAAACACTCTGCCACCGTATATCAGATACCCTTCCATACCCCCCACCCCCCTTTAAATAGATTTGAAGAGAATCTCACAGCTGGAAGGGACCTTGGAGGTCTTCTAGTCCGACTCCCTACTCAAGGCAGGAGACTCTATTCCATTCCGGACAAGTGGCTGTCCAGTCTCTTCTGGAAAAGCTCCACCGATGGAGCACCCACGGTTTCTGGAGGCCGAGCCGTTCCACCCCTTGATTGTTCTCATTGTCAGGAAATTTCTCCTTAGTTCCAGGTTGCTTCGTTCCTTGATTCGTTTCTTAATTAGTTTCTTGATTAGTTGATTAGCCTCCTTGATTATTTTTAATTGTTATTTTTGGTTATGCTTTATGGATTCTCTTTAATATTTATGGAAACATTTCAGGTTCTACTGTGACATTTTTTTAATGTAAAAGAACTGAAAAATTGAAAAAAGAAAAAAGAAATAGAGGGGACAAAGGAAGGAAAAAAGGAATATATTAGAAGAATATTACAAAATATAAAATTGCAGGAGAATTTACAAAATATTGGAAAAAGTAGAAAAAAAACATTCCACTATTGTTTGTACAAGTGTCATTAAATTGGAATTAATGGTTATTTATACAAGTCAAACCAGAAAGTGACAAAAACAGCCAAACTGAATTATTAGTCAGAATAAGAGGAATTAGAAAGACGTTCTGACTCATCTGAAGAGGTCTCTCTTTAACCTTATAACTAGCTAAAAAAGAATCTAATGTTTTAAAACCTTGCGTTATAAGAGACACAGATTTAAAATATGGCAGACGTTTATGTGCAGAATTATAATCTCTAATAAAGAGTTTCCAAATTAAGTGAAAGTTGATAGATTGATTTTTTAGATGAAAAACTATTTTCCGCAGGTGATCACTTCCTTCTTTGTTTTTCAGTACTTCCATCCCATTTTTTGGATGAAGAAAAACACAAAACGTGGGCATTTTTTGAAGGTAAGTACAATTTTCCCTTTTTGTTATTCTTCACAGATGTAGTAAAACATGGTTTTGTGCAACCTTAATTTAAAAAATCAAGATACTTTCCCCAAAGTTTAGATGAACGTGTGAATTGCTAGTGGGATGAGGGCAACACTTTCTGTGGCTGGAGGATCTTCGACATGGATGCTTTTAGCCATTACATTTCCTGTTGGACACCTGCCTCTTTTTTGCCTCTCCCATTTCCAGCGTGAGCATGAATAGTGTTCATGTGTCAGGGATAAATGTTTGAAAGGTGAAGAAACTGAGCCTGCTGCGAGAAAGGAGGACCCCACCGCCCCGTCCTTTCCACTTTGCCATGGTTTTCATTTTATATTGATTTTATAGTGTGCCTATATATGTAGAAAAGTGTAATCTAAATTCCATGAGGAAGAGATGCTTGAAATTGCTAGAAATTATTTTTGAGGTGTTCAAAAGCTCATCATTTTTTCAGACTTTTTTCCTCTTATTTCTGTGAAGCATTATACAATAATCCAGCCATGAATATGTTCATTAAAGGTGTCCCAAACAATAATTGAATTAAAACCCTGATTTTTTTTTCCACCTGATTTAGACAACCTTTTGATAATTATCTATTTAAATATTATTTTGGACCAGTAGAACATTTTTTGGGGAAGTAAATTTATTGGAACATGTTCAGATATAACAATAGAAATGTTATTATTTATTTTATATTTTATTTTTATTATTTGCTGCCCATCTCATTTTGAAACAACTCTAATTATATTAGAATTATTTCATTGAGAGTAGATCTGATAGGGAGTTTGAAAAATAATATTTTGATAGATTTGAATGCTACTTTAGCCAGCAAATTCCAGTAAATAAGCTTGCATTACATTTCATTGATTGGCCAAGCAAAGGATTCAAAACTTGATTAAAATCACAATCATAATTTCATGATTCATTCTTAAAAGGTGGGTATAATACTTTTAGTGATGTTTAAAAGTTGTGAACCTTTTTGAATTTTTAATATTTCTGCATCAATATGAAATAAAACATTATCTGTTCTCCACAGTTGATAAAGAGAAACCAATTAAACAAATTAGTTAAAAACATTGTGCTTATTTATTTATTTATTGAAAAAAATGATCCAAAGCTACATTTGTGTGAAGAAGAAACTTTTCAGCATCACCATATGTAAAACTTCTGGCTTGCCCTTAGTTGGAGCATAATAATATTTAAAAATAGTATCAGATGTAATCAAATTTGAGAATTTATTATTCATAATCATTATTCTAGCTGATTTCTGTTACCGCAATTGTATATTTATCTTAATTTAAAAAAAAACTTATCATGAAGATTATGAGTTACTTCTAGGAAATTCAGATGTTGTATCATTCCATTTGAAAAAGATCCTTTTCCTCTGGCCATTAACATTCCAAAAGGCCATTAAAGATAACAACTGGATATAAAAACTGCTTGTCTAAAAAGCAAGAAGAAAGAATGGGTAAAAAAAATCAATAAACTGATAAACTGAGACACATTTACTTTTAAAAGTTTAAAAATAAAAAGATAAGAAATTATATTGGTAAGGGAATACATGTTTAAAATATGAGAATTTTTTTAAAAGTTAAATGGACTAAGCTAAGTGGACTTTTGGAAAAGATAGATCAAAGCTACAATACAGACACACAAACACACACACAAGAATCTTAAGGGGCCCACCTCCAATAAATTACAAAACTGTAAAAACTACAGTTATATAAACAGATTGCTACTGTCCTCTTTCTTGTCTCAGCTTAATACACTGACTTACCTGCAGCATTTGGATCAGAGAATTGTTTCTCCCTGGAATACATGGGCAAACAGAACAAAACAACCAGATAAAATCAAGTAAATACGGTAACATTTTTTGCAATCAAAATTGAGGACATATTAAAACTCAGCCATGTAAAATATTAGCAGGTTTTGCATATATGAAAAGATACAAATCATAAAATTGGTCAACTGACTCCACATTTTGCATAAGCCAGAGCAGAAATTGGGGTGCGCTTAGGGCGATGGGCCCCTGGGAGCAGAGGCAGTCAATAGGGGCCCTACCACTCAACCTCCACCCTCTTTGGAGACGGGGGAGGGGTCGGGCCTGACTCTTTTCCTTTTTCCCTCCCTCTCCCCCGGCCTCCCCAGACCTCTCGGTCTACGCGGTGCTGATGTGCTCGGCGGGGATCCTGAGCATCCTCCTCTTCGGCCTGGTCCTCCTCTGCCGGATCTTGAGCCACAGGAAGCAACCCCACGGTGAGCAAAAGGTTTCTGTAATTCATCTGTAAGTTTAGTTTAAACATATTGTCACCGAATTTACTAATTCTGCATTTTAGTTTGTTTTATTCCATTGGATGCTCTGTACATTTCCCTTTGACTATGGCCAAAATGGGTGGTGTCTAAATTTGAAAAATATTTTGAAATACACAAAACTGTGTATAAATCGAGAACTTCCTAAGATTTGCACAGAAAATTGAGAAGCTCTTCCTGCAGTGCTTTAAAAAGCGAACAAAGACAACAAAATGGTCCTCACTCCTTCAGAAATCACATGCAAGTGAAAATTACTATACACAGTGATACATTTTTTAAAAATTTCTGTTTTTCTTATTTCTATATTTTTTTCACAGTGAAACGTTACTTGGTGAAATGTCCTCAGAAAAGGTAGGAGAAGAAGCTTCTTTTTGAGAGCGACAACCTTTAATTTTTCTACAAAAGTGTCATTGACTTTAGTTGTCCTCCTAGCTTGAGAAAAATACATTTTAAGTTCTGGAAATTGTTTTGAGAGCCTTTTAATCAATGCCATAAAATCCATGAAGGAGGAATGTACACTTCCCCTCAAAAGAGCCCTGATAATCGTCCATTGTTATAGGATACGGGCCGTCTGTGAGCCCGTTAAACCTATTTCCTTCAGCTTTCAAATGTTCCCATTGTTGAAATATTTTTATTTATTATTACACAAATTTATATAGCCACCCGACTCAGACACTGTTCCTCCAGGCTGTGTACAATATTAAAACACAAAAATTTATGTGGGAGGTTCGGTCTCAATAGCCCCAAATGGTGGTTACTATTTGCCCTGGTTGAGGTGCCAATGATGGCGTGAGTTGGCCCTCACATGCCCGACCCAGTTTCCCTTCATTTGCTACGTTTTGCGAGGATGAACCTGCCTCGGACAGTCACCTTTTGGGCCCACCTCAGGTTAGGTTCATGTGTGGATTAGGCTCCTTTTGCTCCAAGTGTGTGAGTCACGAGCAGGATTAACTTTTTTTCTGTCTGTGTGAGATAAAGGCTCAAAATGCTCAAGGGATCCGGGTGAATGTGACGAAGTTTTACACTAGCTATACTGTTCCGGGCTATATTTTTGTTCTCCAAATTATAATGATTTTGATTGCTCTCCCCCACACAAACATATTCCCTCCATTTTATTTACTTGAATGGGTAAATAAATGGATTAAATAAATCAAGGGAATTGGTAAGACAGGGAATATAAGAGGACTCGTGACTCATCTCTCCTTCAGCTGCTCTCTAAATCCCTGCTTCCTCTCTCTCTCTCCCCCCCCCCTCCCTCCCTCCCTCTCTCTCTCTCTCTATCTCTATCTCTCTCTCTCGTTTTCCAGCTTGCAGGAGTCTGGGAGTGCCAGCAAGGCAGCCGGGTCTCCAGGCGCCCCCGCCCAGAGGAGAGGCCCGAGGGCGACAGAGGCACCGCCAGCAGTTCCTGCCAAAGGTAGTTGTGAGGTTAGGAGCCCTTTGACCCTGGGGAGCTGCGGTTTCCAAAAGGAAGGAGAGCTCCTTTGCTGGACTATTTAAGCAGGTGGCCATTTGCCCCAAAGCATGCTGGAAAAGAGGATTTCTGCACTGGCAGCAGGTTGGGCTGGATGGTCTCCCGAGATCCCTTCCAACCCTTACGTTGTATCCTAATTCCTTTATTGTAGGTAAGGGGGTGAATTCTTCTGGGGTGCCCTGATCCTTTTTTCCATCTCCCATAACTTTTATTCCTTATTTTTATATGACTTCTAAATTGTCCTCAATGGACGATCGGCAGCCGAGTACACATTCCCAAGAACACACCAAAGCCACAGCCCTGGGCTGCCAAGGCCCTGGGCTGCCCTGGAAGCGCATGGGGTCCGGAGGCATCTCAGAAGATGCACAAGGCACCCCGAGGGGCATGCTGGCCAGCTGCAGGGGTGCTGATTGAGTGGCAGATGTTCTTTTTTGTGCATTTCACTCTTACCTGTATTCGCATTACAGCAAGAGGGAAATTATCTGATCTTATTTTTACAGCACCGATATCCCACGCCTTCTCAAAGCCTAAACTCCTGAAACCACAAAGGAAGCTTACCTTGGTGAGTAGCACTGTAGAGATCTGTCCTTGCTGTCGGTTATCCGGTGTGTGAATTTGGTTCCCTCGTTCTCTTCCGTTCCTTCCCTCTCGGGATGGTGTGAGGTTAGGATCCGCCCGCGAGGCCTCCTTTCTTCGGCTCTCAGGGTCCATGGCAGCTCCTGCAGAACCGGATTGCTCCTGGTAGTTCCGTTTTTCACCAAAAGAGTTTAAGGCCCTGCACTGTACACATTTTATGGTTTTCTCTTACACAAGCATCGGCATCCGTTTCATTTTCATAGCACCCTGTTGAGATAAGTTGGGTTGAAAGAGCCTGAGTGACTCTCTCAATAAAATAAGGCAACCTGTGACCTGCCGGGCCCTCCTTTCAGAGGTGTTTCTTTACCTATACAGAGAAACACGGCAACCACCGAACGTCTAATAGCCACAGCAGTTCCAGCAATTGAGTTAGTCCTCTGACGATATCAAGGGACTTCTGGCCAAGTGGAGAGGAGTACCCCCTTTTTCGGAGCTGGAGGAAAAATGACTTTTCAGTAAGAGAAGGGAAGAGCAGACTAGTTTGCCAGCTCCTTGGTCATAGTGTATCTGCGCAACATTCCCTGCTAACGTGAAATACTACACCAATCAGCTCTGTTGCGCTTTCATCACAACCACAGCCCAGTTTCACCCCAAGCGCACTCGCCCCCTTTTAGGCAGACTGAGGTCTCTGATCTAGAGGCGGCCGCCTTGTCGGCTGACACCATGTTGTTGGTCTCCCAACCACTGCTGATGCGCCAGGGAGGGTTTCACCAAGGAGACAAAATGGCACGGTCCATTTGGAATACGGAGGTTCCTGTTGGACTCTTTCTGTGCTTTGGGCTCCTTTTAAACTTATGGTAGCACGTATTTAAATTTTGTTATTTACAGATTGTTTTTCTTGGTTTCTATAACTTTGGCTATGTCAAGGTTCTCCACTTTTTGTGATCAGTGTTGCTCCAGCCATTCAGAAGGCAACTGCTTGTGCCGTAGAGCCCCCAAGTTGCCCCTGGTTACAACTCGGCCCTCTCTCCGTGGCTGTGGGGCCCGCTTGGGCCCTCATTGTTGTGCTGAGAACTTCCCTAAAGTTTTTGCCTCCCTTTCCTCTGGAGGAGGTTTGAAGGCTTCCCGCTTTTCCTGGGTCCCATCGCTGTTCTAGCTGGAGGGGGACTGCGTGTCATGGGAAAAGCGTCCCATTTCTTTTCATTTTTGCAGCACGTTTTCGAGGAGCAAGTCAGAAAAATGGCCCTCCCTGTGAGCCCCCGAGGGAGGCTCTGGAATAAAGGCCTCCGTGGGACTCACAGGTAGAAATTCACCAGGAGGCATTTCATCCCTTCATCACCCCTCATTGTACAAGTGAAGGTTGCTCCTTTTATAGATGGACTTTTATTCTTAGGAATTCTTTGCAGATAGTCTTGTTTCGCGTAACATAAAATTGTACAGTTTCTCTCCCTGATTCTTATTCCAGCAGAAATGCAGCAGCCTAGCTCCCAGCTTTCTGTTACTATCAATTAGAGACACTGGGAAGTTACAAAATTGAGGTGATCATTTGATTGTTTCAGAGAATGGGGACTCAGTTCAACCCCTGCTCCCCACAGCTGTGACTGCAGTTATGAGGTTCATTCAAAATGTATTTTTCTGTCAGAATGTAAAGTTAAAAAAAACCATCTCCAAAATGAAATTAGAGAGAGATGGCTGGATGGATGGAAGGGAAAGAAGGAAGGAGAAAGAAGGAATTTTACTGCAAAATACCCAGAGGTCTCGGTGGTTGTTGGTAGTCCTAAGTTTACTGAGGGGAAGAGGAAGGGATGGAAATTATTTTAGCTATTCTTCTTTGCATCTCTAGATGGTGTGTTTCCAGCTGCAGATGTGCTTTGTAATGCCATCCCTCTGCCGCCTCCTGCGTGGAAACAAGCACAGCTACAGTTTATGTTGTAAATCATCATGCTACTTTACAGCAGTGTCCATCAGGGCTGCATTTTACTGTATTGCTGTCTTTTTGCAACACCCTGTTCAAAGCAGGAAGTAGACTTTTCTTCTTAAATTCCTGTTAAATCCCGCAGTGACTTAAATTGTCAGAAATATTTTCTTGGGCCACTATTTTGCTTTTAGTTGAGTGGGCCGAATGCCCCACAACTGGAGATATTCAGTGTTCAGGGTTTGAAAGTACGTACGACGCATGTAAGATTTCCTTATTGTTGATATTTGAAGCTCCTTTTTAAGCTACTCAGACTTGTCAGTGATAACCCAAGAAGCAGAATGGGGCACAGCCTCAGGTTTCTGCTTTGGAAATGGCCTTTGGAAAACCATATCTTCTATGTTCAGTTATTATACGTAGTTGAGAACGATTCTGAACCTCCTGTGTGTTTCTTCATATTTTCAATCAAATTATTACATACTGGAAATATGCATAAGGGAAATTATTCTACACATTTTATGGTGCGCCGTTGCTTGTAGCAGTAATTGAAGTACCTTTTCCACTTATGAAAGTACTAATTTTATTTGCTTTTATTGCTTTTCTAGATGCAATTATTTATTTAGTGTGTTTTGGCTTTATTAAATTATGTTTACTATAGGAACATCATAAAAATGTATGAAAGTAACACATCAGCCGGGGCTGCCCAGTGACCTGTATTGGAGGAATCGGGGTTATTTTTCATATCCAAACTTAATAGAATAAAGAAGGAATAAGGATATAATCTACCCAAGAAAACAATGCAATTTCCAGATAACATAATAATACACCTGGACAATGTAATTTCATAAATCTTAGCTCTAAAATTTACATGAGCTGGGTGTTGCTGTGCCATTTCAGAAATCATCGCGGTTTGGCTGGATTTTGAATGAGAATTATAACTAAAGGCCGGCTTTATTGGGTGTGAAGCAGAGATGCCTCCGAGGGTGAACGGCTACATTGGCTAATTGGCTCCAGGCCCCACCGCTGGGCTTCACAGGCCACCTGGGCACCTTTTGGGGCCATTTCTTCCACTTGGGGCCTCTTCCCCACGGAGGCAGACGGTGCCCCCCCCCCGGGTGCTGTAAAAATAAGTGGATATATTGTTCCTTTCACAGATTAAAACATATAACTGTACCATGTTTCACTTTGTAATGCCTTAGTGTATTTACTATACATTTGAATTGCTGGCTTCCATTGAAGCAAAGTATCTCTTAAACTCAGGCCGCTGTGAGGCCGCTAAAGCAACCGGGACGGGCCGTTTAGGTAATATATTTCAGGGGAATATATGGCCTGGAGATCATCTAGCGTTGCATTCTCAGCGCTTCCCGCTTCTTCAGCCTGCCTGGCGTGTCAGTACCTGGTTCCACTTCTCTCGGGGAAAGCCTGTTTGGGGGGGGCATTTTGGGGGTTACGATCTCACTTCTGGTCTGCCTTTGGTTCATCCTTGCCGAGGAGCCGAAGGGCAACCGCTGCCTCCCTCGGCCTGTTGGATTCAGGCTCCTTCCTCTCTCCTTCTTCTGCAGCTGAAGGGCCGGGAGGAGAGCCTGACCTACGCCGAACTGGAGCTGCTGAAGCCTCCCCAGGAAGCCAAAGGCGTTTCTTCCGCCACCGTCTACGCCCAGATCCTCTTTGAGGAGAACAAGGTGTAAATGATGCAACCAAGACGGAGCCGGTCGACCTGGGGTGTGGTGTGGGGGGGTTGGGGCTCGTTGAATTCCTTCTTTGCTCCCAACAAGCATTTAGGCCCCGTCCTTTTAGTGGCGCTTTTTTCCCTTTTTAGTTGGAGGAGATTTTAAGGCTGTGGAAACATTTTGTTTTGAAAGATTTCAGGGGAATTTTTTTAGGCGAGTAACAACATTCTCAGGAACCAACATCTTTCCTTTGGATGATTGGCATGATAAACATTTTGAAAAACTGGAGAAATAAGAATAAATAGAAAACTGGAAGTTAAACTGTGCCTTTACATCAGAACTTGATCGTGGGAATATGAAATATTTTATTGGCTGGGAAACAGCTCTGAGTTGAAGTTGATCAATAGGACTATAAAACAGACCCAGGATTTTTTCCCAAAAAAATTTTTTTATGCATGTAAGAAATGTACATTGGTCCCTTTTCCATGTTATTAAGACCATGAAAATGTATTTTTGAATAAATAAATTTTTCCATTTAAAAAAAAAGGCCGATTTGTTTTATTGCATGAAATTGTGGCAGAGGTCCTGCAGAAGGCAGGCAGTTGCGCTGGATGGCCTCCTGGGTACCTTCCCACGTGACGATTCTGTGTGCGAGTGGGGGCTTTTCTCCAGCTGCCCTTTTCTCCAGCAGTGGTGCTGCTCACGCCCCGAAGAGAAGCTGCCCTTCTCTCAAAGCAGCTGTCCTGTCCCGGGGGCTCTGGCTCTCAGTCGGGCCCACCGACAGACACACACACACACACACGCCGGGCCCAGCAGAGCTGCCGGCCTGGGCCTCGGGGCCACTCCTGGTTTCCTTCGGCCTCAACAGGACCTCCTAGCAGGTGGCCAGGAACATCAGAAGCTGACTTCCCAGGGCTTCTGAAATTGGCCTTCAAACTCCATCCATCGTTTCTCTCAATGTGTTTTGCCACCTGGCACTCTGCAGCCCTTGGTATTTTTTTAAAAAACATAATTGCATTGGTTGTCAGAAAGAGAATAGCCCATTTTTCCTCGGCGTTGATACAAGACAAGCTTCTACGTGGGAAGTGGACACGTATTTTCAATTAAAATAGGGTGGACAGAGTCCGCTTTTAAGCTACGGCCCCTGCACGGAGGCTAGACAGTCACATGTCTGAGATGGTATAAGCCCTCCTGCTTGGGCAGGGGGCTGGACTAAAAGACCTCCAAGGTCCCTTTCAGATTCTATTCTATTCTATTCTATTCTATTCTATTCAGTAGACCCACACTTCCAAATATTTGAGAACTTTAAGAATTTTTATGATGATGACTATATCAAACTAAAGAGAAAAAAATATGCTGGAAAATTTCACAAATAACAACCAGACATTTGACTAAATAAGTCCAAAGTCTTCTCCTCCCTTTGTTGAAAAGAGACCAAATGTTGGCAAACGGCCCTTAACAACCATCCATTTTTCAGGTCAGTTTCTGTCCATATGTATTATTCTAGCCTTGCACAGTAAATTGTTTGGCAAACTCAATCACCTTAATGGAGGAAATGGGAGGGGGGGGAGTGATGACACAATGCTGGTTTCCTTGGACTTCAAAGAAATGGATATTGAAGTCAAATTCCATGCCAGAAGCGAGGGGACAAGGATCTGAAAGAGGGTGGGATGTCCAAGAAAACAAATGTTAAATTGCAGAGCCAGTGAGGAGAACCAGATAAGGCAGCAGAAGTAACTTAGTGAAAGGGAAACACTTTGGAGCTGATGAAGCTGAGCAAAAACTGAATGAGTTGAAGGGATGCTAAGAATACAAAATGGCCTCCTTTGGCTACACAGAATACAAAATGGCCTTCTTTAGTTACACTGTACTCCAAATAAAAGGAAAATGGAATAGTTTCTGCTCAAAAAGGACAAGATGCAAGATTTAACTAAAAAAGCAGCTGAATTGCTGGAGTGAATTTATTTGTGAATATTTGTCAGGAGGAGGAAGTGATGCATTTTGGAGATGAGCTTGAAAAGACACAAGCAACAAAATGTGCCTTGACTGACAGGACTGCATGTTCAGCTCTTGGCAAAAGAACGAACATGCTGATGTCTCTGTCCTGGTTCTCTGTTGACACACACACACACACCATGCAAACCTGCCTGCAGTGGTCGCATCCTGCTGCTGGAAATGGTCAATCAGCACAGATCAATTTCAGGAACATTTTATCTGATCACTGTCAGACAGAGTTCAAAATGGAATCAGCCAGATGGAGGTGTGGAGGGAAAACCTGGTTGTATGGAAGTGCCCTAAAAATTAACAATTTATTAACAATCCATGCAGAACCAAAATTATGAAAAAAGGGAACCTGTAAGCATATATCATAAGAAGATTAATTCCAGAAAAGGATGTTCTTTTCCTTCTGTCAAAATATATAATTTCAGTAGTGACATCTGTATCGTGGACACTATATTACACATGAAATTCAATCTTGCAAATCGTGGATGGATGGATGGATGGATGATGTGCCATCAAGTGAGATTTAACAACCACAGAGATTTCCTACCTGATCATCTGTTTCAAACATGGTCCTTCAGGCCTCCTAAAGTGACTTGAATTCATCCACCTTACTGCTGTGTAGAATTATCCTTCCAAAATAGTCATTCTTTTGACTAATCCCAAAAAGTACAAAAGTAGTAGTAATTAGTCACGTTTATTACTTAAAACAGAAAATAACAAATACAGGTAAAGATGTAGTTTTAAAAAACCCCATAAGATATCTGGGATTAGTGATATTTAAAATGCCAGCAGCTTCCATAGCAGTCTCTAAGCTAAACCCATGCAAGCAAAGAATTAAAAGCTGATCTCAGAGTTAATTTAGGAATACTTTCAGAGAAGTTTTTGGCTTTACAAAATTTTCAGTAATGTAATTACATGTTTTGCGGATTCAACTTCATCAAGCTTGGCTGGACGAAGCCTTTGACCAAACAGAATATTTAATGTATTTTGGGAAGCCTAATTCTTGCTAACCTTGACCAAATCCCAGCCAGGTCTTTCAAGAAAACACTTTTTTTTTCTTCAACTTTCAGCTTGCAAATCACTATTTACAAATGTTACCTCTCGTGCCCGCAAACCTTAGAATTTTTTTTTGCCACTTTTTAGGATTTTTTTTTAAGTTGATGGGGATCCAACTATTGGTATGGTGTACCTGGTGCCAGACTATACTGTGTTTACTAATTTTAAAGGTCAGCAAACAATGATCCAACTTCAACAATTTAATTAACAATATCTGTGAGGCTAGCAAGATATTTCTGCTGTCCTTGCAGTCTTCAGGCAGATTCTTTGCAAATAAACAGGGCAAGAAGTTGTGGCCCGGTTTTTGTTTTGAAATGCATCCTGCCCTAGGAAGGGGAAAAGAGAAGTTGTGGATGATGGGCTAGAGGGAGCTGCAGGAAGATAAGTAACTCCATACGTGGTATAATTGGGCCATCAAGCAATCAACTCTTTATTGATGCTCATTGTCCAGCAGAGCATCACCTAATCAACTCAACAATTTGACAAGATCAGAGTTTAGTAAGATGATATAATAAGACAACATGCTTATTTCCACTAATGCTATGACCCTTACATAGAAAAACTACATTGTTCAGGTTTCTCTGAGCATCACAACATTGCCTTGTACAAAACAGATGTTTTGCTCTTTTGGGGAATACTCTGGCAGCCCAGCCCCCGTCTTTGCCTTGCACCATGTCAATTCCTTCATCAAAGAGGCTGGACGGAGAGGAGCAATGCAGGAAAGAGTCAGACGTACGTTGTGTGTGTGTGTCAAACTGGCCCATTTCTGCTGTTTTACCATCAGCAGAATTGGGCCAGTCACTGGTGGGTGTTTTTCCCATCAGCCAATCCCATGCTGAAGTGGGAGGGGGCAGAAAAAGAGGATTCAACCAATCCCATGCAAGGTACACCCCTGCGCTGTCAGCCGGGAGAGACCCATCAAGCCCCCACGGGGAGGGGGGAGGGAAAGATGGCACCTGGGAGCTCCAGTCTTGCTTTGACTTGGAGAGGGCTGGAGGCCCCTTAGCTGAGGAGGAGGAGGAGGACCAGGCCCAAGTCAGATGGCAGAGAAGAGGGCAGCTCTAGCATTTCCACACACACACACACCCCATGCAGAGCCCCCTGGCTCCATTAAAGCCCAGACCTGAGGCAGATGGTCACTCTCCTGTCAGGCAGTGGGATGACTGGCCCCGTCTCTAAATGGGAATTCCTGACCCTCCACACCTTCTGACCCCCACATCCCACAGAGGTGGGCAGCAGCGTTTTTAAGCAGCCTTTCAAGACTAGGGCGGGGGGGGGGAGAGAGGGGCTCCTCTAGGGCAGCTCAGCCACTGGCGAAGTTGCTGAGTTGTGCTATTTCTGCCCATCCTTGTGCTGTCATTGGAAAAGAGCGGACTGGTGCTGAGACGGGAAGAAGGGCAGCTCCATTGAGCTGCTCCCAATCAGGCCCTTATTGTTAATGTTGTGTGTCCCGCAGTTTAGAGAGTTCAGCCACGGACACCTTTTACTGCTAAATACAGCCTGCTCTTCCACATTAAATTTTACCGCCATCTGCAAACATTCTCAATCACATCAGTATGAGCAGTTACGTGTGTGTGTGTGTGTGTGTGTGCGCGCGCGCGCGTGTGTGCGTTTGTGCGCACACTGTGGGAGACAGGAGGCATCCCTGGCATAAAAACTACTCTGTTGTGCAACTGTCTAATAGGTTCATGAGGCGTGGGAGCCATTTTGAGGTCAATGTAAGTGTATTTATTCATTTATTAGATAACTGTAATAATATTCTCCTTAAGGGTTGCCTCTATTAACTTACAGTAAGCTCACATCTTATGAAACATGATTCAGAATTCACCCAGTTAAATGTGGAGTTTATTTTACATGTCGATCTTGATATAGTTATACACGTATTTAAAATGTGTATAATTATACTATTTATAATATAAGAGTCCACACCATAAGAGCAAGGATAGGATTCAGCAAGAGACCTAGCGATAAATTGGACCTGTCCTCTCAGATTGTTGGTCCTAACCATTTATTGTGGATAAAAGGAGCTATGAAAATAATGCAAAAAAGGCTGGGTATTTTTGCTCACATAAAGGCCGGCCTGAGGGAGAAGAGAAGGTGGGGAGGGGGGGGGAGAGAACTTTTCAGCACTGAGGAAGTGACTGATCAGATCAAGCCAAGGCCACAGCGGCAGAAACCAAGGCAACTCCCAGTGAACTCTCTTTAGTCAATCAGTCGAACTACGAGGGCTTTATGCAACAGCGCATTCTGAAGAGTCTGTATCTGTGTCACGGGCTGAGTGACAGCTGAGTGGATGTCTTATAAAATCACCCCTGCTCATTCTCGCACAGGCAGCCCCGGACAGCCTGAAGATGCCACGAGGCTTCGGAGGCATCAAATTCTGAGCTCACAGGAAAGACGCCCAGCTGAGGATCGTCTCTAGATTGAGGCAACCGGCTCTGTGCAGGCGAAGCGGCCTCCCCAGCAAAGCCCTACAGATGTTAAATGAAAGGGAGACAAACGGCTGTGCTTCAGCTAAGAGGAGCCCCATCCCAGAGAGGTGAGGCTGTTAAGTTGCGCCTCCCACACTTTTTATGCTCTCCAGCAAGAAAAGAAGGCCAACATACTGGAGGCCAATCCAAACTCTAGAAATCTCAACAGGGCCACATTTCCTTCCCAGTAAAGGGTCATCCATTGTTGGGCCAAAGCCACACCTGTGCAAAATGTGGGTGTAAAAACTATAGAAAGATTCATGGTAACAATCTGTTTTATCCAAATGTTACTTGTTTTTCTACACCACCATCTTCGCCAGCTTGTCTAAATATGGAATAGTGGACACCAATTGACAGTTGGCCGGGCGGTAAGGGCTTCTGAAATCAGGTGAGTGGCCACAGGAGCTGCATTCAAAGAAATGTTTCTTGTTATTTGCTAAAAACACGAGGAATTGGTTCTGTCCGGTATTCTCCGAGGTGGATTCCCTAAGGGCCAACAACCTGCAAGGAGTTCGGCAGGCACAGAAAATCTTCTAAACCCAATCCATAAATATGTTGTCCATGGTAAACAAGTGAAACAAAGTACCCCCATTCAGACAGCATGATGGCAAAACAAAACACTAAATCAATATAAATATTGCGCAATGCGTGAGTCAAACACGGCTAGAGCTGGGCGCGTAGCTAGGGAAGCCGTGGATTCAGAGAGCAGCTCAAGAGGAGGAGATTGCCCAGACCAGCAAGCCTGACTTCATCGACTCAGGGGGCCGCCTCAGGCAGGAAGACGGTTAGCCTCAATGCACGGACAGCCCCCACCCCCAACACGAGCTCTGTTTTGCTCCGAGAGATCGACACCTGGGATTCAAACTGATCCCGCTATTGAGGAGACATCAACAACTACAACCACCACACAGCCTGTTCTGTGCAGAGCAGGGCCCCGATTTCCCCACCAGGGCGCCCCACGTGCAGCAGCAGGCTCCCTCCTTGCACCCTTAACCAGAGAAGGGTTCCTCAGAGCCGCTGGGCACACCATTTACCTTTCAGATGCAAGGCGGAAGACGTCTTTAACGTGACTTTGGTCCCTTCCTTCCCGCTCTCCTTTTCAAGTCCAGTTCATCGGTCGGATGTGGCCACGGTTGGCGCCTGCACTTGGTGCTTCGCTATTCGGCAGGGAGGGGATCCAGTCGCCACAAGGACAAACAGACAGAAGGCGGCTCTCTTCTTGCAGACACCAAAGCCTGTTTTTGGGGGATCTGTGCATGTCTTTCAACTACTCAGTTCAGCGGCCCGCTTAGTGGCGGGGCTGAAAAAACAGCAGGCAAAGGAGGGCAGCTCTGCTCTCGCCTCCAGAGCGAGGGAGGCAGCCAAAGGCCGTTCCTATCTATCTCTATAAAAAATAACATTAATTAGGATGCTTTGCCATTTCCTGAACAACCCATAATTAGGTTAGATAAGAAACTAGCAGTATCTAAGAGCTATAAATGTCTAAATTAAGTTATTTTGAAAGTGCCCAGCACTTTGACATTTTGAGAGTTCACAGTAATTGCGGTATTGAGATAAAATTGCTCCTGTTATTTAAAAGGTCATTATCTTCTTCACTTAGATAGATGGAAACTATTTTCCACTCTAGTGAACCATTGTGTTTGGGACAATTAGGCAGGCTTGAGTAGATTTCCACCAGCCTGACTCCCACTTATCACAGCTCAGGCCGTGACACACAGAAATGTTTGTATAGAGAGAGGCAAAGTAGCCACTCTATATTCCACTCACAGGCCAGCCCCCCCCACGTGACTGAAATTTCCAGGCTGAGATGCTGAATAACCTTCGTGCAGCTGTTGAACGTGGTGGCTGCCTACTCAACTCGGTCAGCCTCAAGAAGACGGGCCAGGAAAGCAGGGATCGATTTGCAGCTGTGACTTTTAGCCTCCTGGCTCTCCATGGGGAGACGGAGTTGAGGGGGATCCCAGGGCCACGGCGGTCTCCCCTCACGACACAGGGCCGGGGAAGGGCTCTAGGGAGATGCAGCAAGAAGGCCCGGCCTTGGGACAGTTGCGGAACTGAGATAATACAAGAATGCAGCTGGAACCCAGGACGGACAGGAGAGGCAACCCGTGGCGTCCCTGGCTTCTGATGCAGAAGCCTTGTGGGAAGTCTGAGGGTCAAGCTGGACACCTGTCTGCAGAGATGTCTCCTGGCCACAGCCGGAATCTGGACAAGGTGCCAGAGATAAAAAAAAACACAAAAAAAACCAATACCTAATGTGATGTTTATTTGATTGTCACTTTAGGTGAGGCCACAGTGTGGCCTCTTTCCTGTGCCTCTGAGGTCCCTGTGCAGAACGAGCCGCCATGGATTTTGCATCCTGAGGAATATCGGAATGAACAGTTACCGCTCCCCCCTCTTTGCTGACAAGTCATTCAGACTCTGTGAACAACGTTTATTTTCCTTAGCAAAAATAGCCATCACACACAGTCTCTACCGAGAACATCCCGAGGAAATGCACCACGGCACAAGACATTTATCCACTTGTTAGAAATCACATCAAGTCCTAAACGCAGGTGCAGCTCTCTGTCCCTGGGAACTGAACTAGGTCTGGCTGGGCAGAAAAACTGAAACGTCAAGAGCAAAGCACAGGTGGAGCCCCGAACCCCGAGCGGGCGTTTCCCCTCTCATCTTTCTCAAGAGCAGTTCTGGCGCGCTTCAGTTTGGGTTCTGCTTCTGGCCCGGGAGACGGGCGTCCCCTCAGGCCGGCCCATGGACAAGCAGAGCCGCCCCCCTGGTTGCGGTTAGTCAGAGAAGAAAAAGAGGCCAAGTGGGAAACTTTCATTCCTTCACACTCAGCAGGTCCCAGTCAACATCTGTGGCTGGGTGGCACTTTTTTTTTTTTAAAGGAGAGACAAAAGAAACTGCCAGAAATCCAGATATCAGGATGAATACTGTGACGCTTAATTCCCCACTGCTAAAGCTTCAGGAAAGCAGAAACATTGATAATAAATAACACCCAGAATTATTTGATAATATTTAGGTAATACTAGTTGAAAGACACGCCAAACATTTCCATAGATTTGTTCCTTGGACTGGCGATGGCAGGAGGAGCCTTTCAAAGGGAGGAGAATTTTTGCCCCCCGTCTTGGTTGCCTCTTCATAATCTGAGAAATCTCCCCACGGATCCCAGTCTGGGCCCTTCTTAAACTGCCCAGGGTGGACGTTGCCATCTCATCCTTGCAAGGCAACAGAGGGGAGACTTTGGGGCCAAATATTCCTGAAAATTTTTCCCGTCTGCCCCACCTCAGTTAATAATCTCAGGTCCTCAGGACCAAGAGGAGACCGATCCACCCCGCCCCCCTTTGCTCAGCTAAGGGATCTGCTGGGAGGAGCTTTTGCTGGGATTTACATTTTTCCTCATTTCAAGAGTGCTCCACCTCTTCTCATTAAGTCCAGGTAACATGTAGGTGAATCCCGCAGTTACACACATCCACAGTTGTTTAGGAGACCAGTTCGTACTTCTTTCTTCTACTCATCAATTGACCAACAGCAGACCTTCCCATCTTCATTGCCAGCCAGAAGCTTGGAATAATTTCTAGGAAGGGAGTAGAGATAGGAGGGGGAAAAAAAAGAGTTTTAGGAGCAATACGGTTGAGAACTCTGAGATCACACTGGATGTTTCTGCAGGAAATAATTCTGGAGGAGGATGCTATCCCTGACATTTTAAAGTCAGATCCATATATCTGAAATATCCAGGGTGTGTATATATGTATGTATATATGAAATCCCCTGGGACAGCTTTGGAAGAAATACTAACTTTAGACTGTAATCTTTCCCTCCCGCAGGGTGACCCTGTTCCTCCATACTTATCCCATGTTCTGAGTCTAATCCAGTCCAGCTTGAAAATACTTATTTGGCAGGAGGTAACCAGACACGCAGCTCTCGCGGGTCCTTAGTGGGGGATGCAGCGCTTCTCCTCGTGCCCCCCCTCAGCCCCCACCCCGCCCCGCTTGTCGGGAAGGGCGGCCCGGAGGCGGGCAGGGCGCGCGTGCGGCTCGGGCGCCCTCTAGCGAGCCGGGCGGGTGCCGCAGTCCGAGCGGCGCTTACCTGGCGGCGGCCAGGGCGGTGACGGGCGCGGCGGGCCGGGCGGCTCCCTCGGCGGGGCTGGGGCGAAGCAGCCGCTCTGGGCGGAGGACGAGCGCCGCTCTCCCCGCTCTGCCGCCTGCCGGGGGGGGGAAAGGGGGAGGAAAAAAAGGGAAGGCTGAAGCGGAGGCGGGAGGGCGGGGCCGCCGTCTGCCAGCCGTTCACCGGGGAACCTCCTCCTCCTTCGCCCGCCCGCCCGCCCGCGGAGAAGGGCCCGGCCCAGCCGCCCTTCCAGCCTCCCGGACAGTTGCACGCGCTGACGTGCGGCTGCATCAATTGTGGCTAAATTGGGTTTGTGCGTTATTGCTTTCTAAATTGCATGCCTAGTTCAGCAGAATCGCCGGTCGGTGTTGGCTGTTTCGGGGCTTAATAAGATCTCCCAGAATACCCTGCTGTCGGGCTATCAGGCGGCCCGTAATTGCCCAGTTAAAACAAATTGCCTAAAGTCCTGGTTATGGCCAACGTGCCCGAGTCTGTTCCTCGTACAATCGGTAATTAAATGCCAAGAATACTGTGCAAATAATGTAATTCGATCGTGGTTACTTCAGCTTTATTTTTACGCTCCTGTGTTGGACTAATCATTCTTTCCAGTGTTGCAAAACAAACGGGGGAATGAATATCTGGCGGCTGCTGCTGCTGCTGCAAACACCTCAAGAGCAAATGGCTTCGAGGGNTAGTAGAAGGAAGTGCAGTGCAGGCTGACAACATGCCGTTCTGTGGAGTTTAAAGAATAAAATGTTGCATTCTCGTGAGTGGTTTTTACTAAACACTGCAGGCGGCTGATAAACGGCCCTTTAAGCGCCAGGCTTTATGGAGAGGCCTTTGTGAGACCGGAGCTCCCCGTCTGGCTGTGGGAGCCCCACCGGACCCAGCTGCCTGCTCCCTCCGGCGCAGCTCGCCCACGGGGGGGGGGGGAAGAGGTGGGGTGTGAAGGAGGGGGCTGCTTCATCCATTCTCTGCCGACTGTTGGGAACAGCTTCTCCGGTTCATCTTTGGCTTCAGGACACCCGGCTAGCCCGAGCAGAAACAAGCACCAGGGAACCCGTCCGCAGGGGCTCCTGTCCCCAATCCGCCACTGCGGAGGTTCTGTAGAGCCTGCCTCTGCTGTAGCCCACAGGCTGAATCCCTCTGCCCCCTCCGGGACGTGAAGCAGGGCGTCCCTGGAGGAGGTGTGCTCCCCCCCCTTGGAGAGTCCTACCTGCACGCAGCCATCCGTGTCCCCCGTGACCAGGAGGCTCTGCACATCCCAGTCCTTCACGTCAAAGAAGCAGCAGCAGGAGATGATCCCTCCGGGCCTTAAGGGAGCCTCTCCTCTGGCCAGGGGCTGCCCGTTGACTGTCCACAGGCACAGGGTCGTTCCGGCACACGAAGCCACCTCGCCCTACAAAACCGTCCCAAGCGCAGTTCAGGCCAACACCCTTCCCGTCGCGCAAGTAAGATTAGACAGCCAGCATGGGCCAGGCAGGAAAGCGGGCTCGGCCACATAGGAGCAGCCCAGGCGGGTTACACGGAACGGAGGAGAGATTATCACAACAGCAAAAGCTCAAAATGATCTGGGCCACGGAACGACGCCTGCTCAGTCTCCCTCCTTCCCCTTTTAGGGAAGATGGCGGAGAAAGCGGGCGCATGGCCGCTTCAGAGGGCCCTGGGTGAAATCCTGAATCCCTTCCAGCTAGGATTCAGTCAAGGGACAGAAACAGCCTCGGCTGCAGCCTGGCGAGAGCAGGATGGGGGTAGCGCAACCATCCTTGACCTCTCAGTGGCCTTCGATGCCGTTGACTAGGGTGTCCTCGGGGGCTGGCTGTGGGGTTTGGAGTTGGGGGCTGGGTGGCGCAGTTCTGGGCTGGTTTGTCTCCTTTCTCCAATCAATGTGGATAGGGAGTGAGAGGTCCAGTCCATGGTCGGGTGCGTGGGTGGGTGGCTGGGTGGGTGGGTGGGTGGAACAGTGGCCCAATTCCTCTCCTTTTTGCTCGTTCCCAGCTCCAAAGCCTCTTCCTCTGACTTGATCTTCACCTGGTCCTAATCAGTTCCCTGCAAGTACGTTCCCCTGCATCAACCGGCACATCCCTTTGAGAAACCAGCAAGCCAGGAGAGGACTTTTGTCTCCCAAGATGAACCTGGCCAATACAGACAACATGAGATAACCCTGGGTGGATTGGGGGAGGGGGGAGGGAGAGGCTTCTGCTATTTCACCAATATGGCATCCAACAACGGCGTCTGGAGGGTTGCATGTAACCAAACACACTGGAGGGCAAAATCTCTTGAAAGCTGAAAGCTCCCAGAGCTAGCAGCTCTCCTCCTCCTCCTGATGCTACTGCTGCTGCTACTGCTCCTCCTTCTCCCACTCCTCCTCCTCCTCCTCCTCCTCCTCCTCCTCCTTGGCTGCTCTGACTCAGAGGCTGCTTTTAGTGCCCTCTTTCAACATTAAGGATCCTATTAAAAACCTCGGTAAAAAGAAAAAAAATCAATCTGTCGCGCCTCAGGATGGTTTCTCACAGAGAAGAGCACCCATTAAGTCATCATGAAATGTTCATGGATTTGTCAGAAGAACAATGATAAATGAAGGCCTCACCGTTGAATCATTGATGGCAACCGCCAAGAGGCCGGCCTCGTGGGCAGGAAGCCGGGTGAGGCACGTCAACCGGTTCAGGTCCCAGAAGATGCAGGATCCGTCCGCAGAGCCACTCACCAGGAGGCCGTAGGCCGTGGAGGCGGCCAAGCAGGTCACCGGCTGGGTGTGTCCATATAGAGGCTGGGGAGCAAAGCAAGCAATGAGTACAACACACACACACACACACACACACACCCTGAGAGAGAGCAGTGGGAGTGAGCCCCGGTGCAGCCTTCCTCTTAGGCCTGCTGGCCAGGGCGGGGGCTCAGTGGGAGGAGGGCCCTTTGGGAAGGGACAGAAGGCACCAGGGCACAATCTCCTCCTTCTGGGACACCCCCCCCCCCGGGTAGGAAGGCAACGCAATTCCAAAAGGGCTTGAAATAAAAGCAGAGAAGGAGGATTGCCCCTTTAATATCCGAGCAGCAGAACTTCAGCTTTGCAACCAAACCGGGGAATGTCAGAGCCACACCGTTTTTTAAAAAGGAAAATATTGAATAATGGAGCCTTCTCTCAGACCTATAGTACTAAAACACATCAGTCAACGGTGAGAATGCAGAATTAAATGCCGACATTGCTGTCTGCCAACTTCTGGCGTGACTCTGGTTGCGATTCCTGTTCCTGCTCTGTCACTGCATCTCAGAGAGGGGGAGACAGGAGGGCAGCTGCTCTCGGCTACTCACACCGAAAGATGGAAAAGGTGGGAGGGAGGGGTAAAGATACAACAAGTTATGCTGACACTGGATGACCAGTTGGCGGCCGTGACCAGGGGGGCGTTTTATCAGGTTCGCCTGATTCACCAGTTGCGACCTTTTCTGGACCGGGACGCCCTGCGCACAGTCACTCATGCCCTTGTCACCTCCCGCCTGGACTACTGCAATGCTCTCTACATGGGGCTCCCCTTGAGGAGCACCCGGAGGCTCCAGCTAGTC